AAGAAAGAAGAAGAAGAAGAAGAAGAAGAAGAAGAAGAAGAAGAAGAAGAAGAAGAAGAAGAAGAAGAAGAAGAAGAAGAAGAAGAAGCACATTCGACAAACGTGTGAGCAGAGCTTGGGGGTGCCCGAATCCTCTCTTCCTGCCATGGCTGAGGCTGGCATGGCCATGAGCTGGGCCTTCCCAGGTTATGAACTATCCTGTTAGAACTCAAAAGAGAACTTTGTGTATCTACTCACACACATACACACACCTAAGTCACATACCTGGGTCACTCTGTTCTGTTACTGCTTGGACATTCTCATCCTGAGGACAGACTGATGCCAGCTCAGGAGAGGAAAGGGCCAGGAGTTCAGTTCCTTCTGGAACACCCCCAACCCCTGCCCCAGGCCTGCAACCAGAGCTTGAGGATGCAGGAGCAGAGGAGTGAACTCTCCTTGCAGACTTGGTGACACCTGATTTTCAGTCCTTCTCCACTCCTGTCCCACTGCTGTGAAGGATTTGGACTGGTGTTCTGGGAACTGGATAGTTACAGGGAAGGAGGAACCACTTAGAATCGGGACAATGACCTTGGAGATGTGCACCTATATTCGCAGCACTCTGTGAGAGTGCCAAGTGTGAACCCAGCCTGGGCAACCTGGCAGTTTATCAAGACCCCGTCTTAAAATTAAAAAATAAAATAGGCCTGGGAATGTAGCTTGGGACCAAAGCCTGAGTTCAATCTCCAGTCCAACAAAACAAAAAAGTCCCAGTGCCTGATTTCCCTATGCCGTAAAATAGGAATAATAGCTGTGGGGGGGGGGAGCGTTAAACATCCAGAGGAAACGTACCACCGTGCCTCTCCAGTGGCTGCTGCAGGGAGGGGCTTTTTAGGGCTCCCAGCAACGAATCCAGTGGACCCAATAGACAAAGGAGAGCCCTGAGATGGCAGTGAGGTTTGACAGAGCACTTGTCACAGCCTGAGTTCATGGCATCCCAAACCTCCAGGGAGGAGAATCAAGCTGGATCAAGGACCAGCAGCCAGGTGGAAACCCACTGGGCTATGCACCATGGCTTGGGTTTTGAGAGTACCTGGGAGTTCCAGAGGCCATCGTGCATGGCGCCACCAAGTGGCGGCCCCGGGGCATGGTATCCGGGACAGCATTCTAGGACTTGGGGAAGTAGATTCGCGTTACAGAGCGGCCTGCGCGGCCCTGTGCCAACCCAGCGGAGGAGCTGGTACAACAGCCGGATGGAGCTGAGCTCTTGCGGGACCTCGTGTGCGTGGCGTGGGCTGACAGGCAGGACGCAGGCTATGTCAAGGTCGCAGAAAGCCCATTGCACTCCCACGGCCCCACTTCCAGCAGCTTCTGCTCTGGCCCAGCAGGCCTGGCTCCTCTAGTTCCCACGACCAGCTTTCAGCAGTGCGGGAGGGTGGTTCTGCACTCGAGCTAGTGCTTCTGTGCTCCTGTACCTTCCTGTGTCCTTGCTCCGGGTCTTGGTACCCTCCCTGGTTTTGACGCCTCTCTGCTGGCCCCAGCCCTCATGTCCCTCTGCTGCTGACTTAGCACCCCCAAGCCTGTGGTCGAGTCCCCCAGTCTGGGCCCTGGGCCTTGAGCAACTGGAATCTTTGCGCCCAGCCCCACCGGGCTGATTGCACCAGGCACTCCCTTCTTCCTCCCTCGCTTTCTCCCTCTTGGGGAACAGAAGCAGGCAGCACTGGGGCTGGAGTGGCCCTCGGGTCTTGACCCTATCCCGGCCTTCGTTTTCGAAGTCCCGGCACCCCAAATACCCCTTTTGACCACTCAAAACCCAGCTCCAGGGGCCACCAGTGTGGACAAATCACATCCTGCCACCCCATTTTCCTGTTCTGATGACACTTGTCCGTCGGGCATTGCCATTGTTGTTGCTGGCCTGTGTCCCCAGAACAGCTCATAGTGGCCCCTGGGCAGATGGTGGAAGTCTTCTGGACCCTGGGCGACTGCCAAACCCTAACCCAGTTTTGCTTAGTTTTTTCGTGGGGGCAGATTAGGAAGATAACGTCCGGTGACCCCACCGCTGCCGCCCGAGGGCGGGGTGGTGGTCGGGGCGGGGCTGTAGGGCGGCGCGGAGGGCGGGCCCCAGGCTTAAGCGGGGCGCGCGCGGGGTCCCCGCCCCAGAGCGCAGCGGAGGCGGAGCGGAGAGCGAGGCAGCAGGAGTGGAGCCGGGCTGCACCCGCTCCGCCTCCGGTGAGCGAAGCCCCGACGGCCGAGGGCTCCGAGGGCTACCCAGATGGCGCCCCGCGAGGCGCACTGAGGCTGAGCAGGGGTCGCGGCGCCGCGGGCGGCACCATGGCCCTGGAGCGGGCGCTGCAGGCAGCGCGGCAGGGCGAGCTGGACGCACTGAGGTCCCTGAAGGCCGCCGGCCTTCTGGATCCCTCGCTGCGAGACCCGCTGGACGCGCTGCCCGTGCACCACGCCGCCCGCGCCGGCAAGCTGCACTGTCTACGCTTCCTAGTGGAGGACGCAGGGCTGCCCGCCACGGCCCGCGCGCGCAACGGCGCCACGCCGGCCCACGACGCGGCTGCCACTGGCCACCTCCCCTGCTTGCAGTGGCTGCTGTCCCAGGGCGGCTGCAGAGTGCAGGTGAGTCGACGCCACTCTCGGGTGCCCTGGAGTTTCCTCCCCAGGAGGCCCCAGTGGCTCTGGAGTGGTGGGTGGGACTTTGGGTAGGGTGGGCTCCGTGGACTTTGCGGCAGACACCTGGCATCCCCAGGCAGCTCCTGGAGAAGCGCTTGGGGGGTGGGGGGTGAGGGGTGGGGGTGGGGAGCCAATGAGAGCAAGCTTCCCGCGGCTTGTAGGTCCTGGGAGGAGCATAGCGTTACATTTCATCCCAGGGTGGGGGCGGAATCAAAGCCCACTCCCTCTTATTTGGTGTGGAAGTTGGGTGGGCAAACACCACAGCCCAGCCTGGGCCACAGTGCGCATGCATCTAAGCCAGGGTGTGGGGTGCCAGTGGACCTAGGCAGACTCCAGAATGCAGTCATCTTTGGGTCTCCCAGCTCTCAGTCACTTTCTCCTCGGAGCCTGACTGGCTCTCCTGGGTGCCAGATACCAGCAGGTCACTCAGAAGTGACTTCTCAGGACAGCCTTGGCTGGTGAGGAGGCAGCCAGGTGACTGGCAGCACAGGGCACAAGAAGTGAGTGCAAGGCCTGGAAGGGCGTGTGCGCCTGTCCTGCTGGACGGAGGCAGTGAGGACGCTGAGCTGAGCTGGCAAGACCCTTCTGTGGTGGGGGAGGGGCGGAACTGAACTCCACACAGAAACACTGTGGCAACAGCAGAGGCAGGGGCAAGAAGCAGGGGCAGCTTGCTGGCTTGCCAGTCCTTACAGATGGCCACACCTCCTGCCCTCAGCGTGCAGGCCTCCCTTCCTGTCCTTCCAGGGACCCCATCTCTTATCTCCTGGTCTGCCCTGTTACCAGGGATGCAGGGCACCTGGCCCATGCACCCTCCTCTGGAAGTGCATGACTCCCTGGTGCCCATGGACAGCCCTGGCTGGTTGCCCTGTCTCCTCCCTAAACCTGGTGTCCATCCTTGGCTGAACCCTCCCTTCCTCCTACAGTGGAGGTGAAGAACCAAGTGGCCTTGTGCTCAGCTTATCAGGTCCCCTGCCCTTCAGCAGGCTGGATGCTGGGCCGGAAGTGGGGGGGTGACCTGGATCTGGGGTCCTGCCAGTCCAGTGAGATAAGCAGCTTAGGGTGTGGGGCACAGCACGTGCAGCTCCCGAGGTTCACACAGCAGGTAGTGTCTGAGGGACAGGCCTGTGACCTCTGCATAGTACCATCACCACCACCATGAAGCCCCAGCCATCGGGACTCCCTGGATGAAGACCCAAGGTCAGGGGAGAAGGGAGGTCTTGCTGGAGAGCTGAGGCTCAGGATGCACTTTCCTGTGGTCACACCTGCGCCACCTCCAGCCAGCCCCATGCCCTGGGCTTGGGGGGTAGACTGGAC